ATTATTTTTTTTATTATTTACGCCTACAGCACCTGGTCTTCCTAGGTGGTCTCCCATCCAAGTACTAACCAGGCCTGACCCTGCTTAACTTCCGAGATTGGACATTGGACTTGTTCAGGGTGGCATGGCCATAGACTGTGGACTCTGGCTCCACTGGGGCACAAACCCAGGAGCTTCTGCACATAAAGCAGACGAAAAATAGCACGGAATTTTAGAAGGAAAATTTAGAAGGAAAATGCTCTTTAGGTAATTTTCTTGGCCACTTAACCTGAATACATAAAATCGGGGGGGAAAAAAGCCAAGTGGTCATGGACTGTTGTTATTCCTGGGAAAAGCATTCCAGTCTAGGACACACATTTCTCTGAATTGTTAATTATGTGCTTTTAGAAGAAATTTTGAATCATGTATGTTTCATTTTGTATGACTTAGGTTCTCTGACCTATTTTTATTTGTAAGTTGGTTCGTCTATATAGTTGCTGCTTTGCATAACTAGATTATTTTTTCCCCTCAGGAAAAAACTTGAGGGAATTGTTTTATTCCATATTAAACCTTTTACCTCTATCTTCTCCAAGAAAGGTACAGAACATTTTCATTAAACAGCTAGTGATGAGGCTTCTGCTTTACCTTGCTCTGCACCAGAATGCAGAGAAGTGTCGATGAGATAAATGTTTTTCTCCTCTGCTCCAGATAATACCATCTCCAGCTAGTAAGGACTGAGACAGTTGTCTGAATTGTTCCCTTCAGAGCCTTTGCCCTCCACGGAGCGAGTGGAGTATTACTAACAGCACACGTGGGCCAGTTTCTAGCAGGCTTTTTCTGATGCCTCTGTGCTCCAATTCAGCCTGAGGAGCACCTTGGGTTTTGACATGGCACCAGAATTCCAGGAGGCTTCTAATTGGTCTTGTACATTCCATAATAGACTATGATGAAATCTATCTATGCAATAAGAATGTCACCCAATTTGACAAAATTTACATTGCTGACTTTTTTTGGAAATGCCATATGGACTATTATTCCGTCTCAATGGCCTGTATCAAAACATTTTTAAAAGATTGCTCACCTGCTGACTAGATTGGTTTCCATCTCTAGATGTATTTCAGGATGCTTCAGATAAAATTTCGAAGTATAATTATTGTTGACCTTATTACCAGGTATGGTAGTTTTAGTCACTCCATGGGAGGTGCAAGAGGAAAATACAGAAGCCATCAACAAAAAGCCTTTGCTATGAAAAGTATTCATTACTTTCAGTATGTGTAACAATGGAAATGTTTTATTAGATACCACCAATAAGGACTTGGGGAATGTGGAATATTGTTACACTGATTTTATTATGCAGGTTTATTAAAATGACTCAACACTGCATTCAGCTTCACCTCAGTTCTTGTTAGCCAGGAGCCCAGTGTCCTTGGAAACAGTAACCAAGGTTACTTACTTCATACCGTTTTTGTGCAGGCAGCTTCACTGCACTGTTTGAGTGGCGATTAATAAGCACTTTGTGGGGGGAGGGTTTGTATTTTGCCTTTAAAAATTTTATGGCTTAGTGCGTATATTTTGTCTGGACACGCTTGAGGTAGAAGTGGCACAGGGTTATTAGGATATTATCCATACTTGGTTTTCCCTGTGGCTGTCAGCACTCTATGTGGGTTGCATATGTTAAATTATTTGAATATTTTGTATATGTATTTTTTGTTTAAAGATATCTTCTACTTGCCTTTTATTTAATTACTAGTATGTTCTTAAACTTTGAATAGATTATAGAAATTTGAAATGCTTGCCCTGCGCTGGGCATCACCACAAAAATTCCCCTAATACCTTCTGGGTCACACACCTTCCTCTGTGACCAGCTAATACAGTCTGACATTTAGATTAGGAAGGTGCTAGGCTTCCCAAGTCCTAAGAATGATCTTAGTTATGACATTCCAGTAGTGGTGTTTTTCCAGGATTTCTGCAGGAAATTTTATTACTAAGAACATCTGTCACCAGCTGTTTTCTTACTATACTACAATGATTGTGCAGACATAAGCCAGAGACTACCAGGCTTAACAGTTTGCCTTCATTCAGAAGCAGCCAGAGCCTCCACAGCCACAGGATTGTTTGGTGGTGGTTCTGATCATGTGTGATGTAACATTTAAGGGTTCCTCTGATTTCCCAAAGAAACTATTAACTTTACTTGAAATTTTCTTTTTAGACTATAAATAGAAGTGGGCAAATGGTATGAAACAAGAAAAGGTAGAATTTAGATGGAAACCACTGCCACATACCAGGTAAAATCTGGATGATTTATATAAATATGCAGCCATTGGTATTATATTTATGGCTTCTTACCAAAATAGAGCAAAAATCTAGAAAGTTATTCCACAGATAAGCTAGCTACAACCTACCTGGCAAATGAAAAAAAGAGAAAAAGCAGTGCTGTGGCAAATGGCTCCCCCATCTAAAAGTAAGGGTCAACCTGGTAATAATGCCCAGTGGTTTTTCAGGAACATGGAATAGAGAACTGATTAAACTACCAAGTCCCTAAAGAGTTGTGTTGTCACATTTATTAGGAACAGTGAACTGGATGACATTTCCAAGTTTCAACAAAGCAAGCCATTGTTATCTGTCACTTGTATTAAAGTTTGGTTTAGGGCACTTGTGTGTTAATAATCAAGCAAAGGCACTCCTTTTGTTAACCAATTTCTTTGATGGGGGATTGACTGACTGCTTTTGTGCACTTATTACCGAGACAAATTGAAAACCATCTTTTATCAGAGTGTGCACTCTGCTATTTTCCACTGTTCTAGCACTGTGGATGATATTAATATCTGCCCATCTACAAGGATGTGAAACAATGACAAGATTCAGCTGGGATGTCTATTTTAAGTAATGTTCATTACTGTCCACAGCAGCCATATTTTAATGCAAGTATTGGAGAGTATCTTCCTTCCATCAACACATAGACACACACACACACTGAAATTCTTCTTAGTAAAAATTATAACGTGGTAAGCAGATAGGTTTATTAAAAATAATGCTAATATAGTCCTGGGGCACATTGATTCCAAGAGGATGTTTGCAGCAGATTTTATTATAATTAACAGCTCAATAATAAAGGATTTTTTTTTTTTAACTTACAAAGTTACTAAATAATAGAAGGGAAAGGAAAGAGGCCAGTAGAGACTGAAGCTGGTATCAATCTTCCCTAAGCACTTGTGTGGTCAGCAGCCGTAGGCAAAGCTTGTCTCTAAAGGGTTAATCAGGGCCCAAAGTGATTTTTGCACTGAGCTCCTCCTGCACCTGTCATGATGCCAAAAGGCATGGAATTCAGAATAGAGCAAAACCAAACAGTTTTATTAAACTGTTCAAATTATTAAAAATGATTAAAAGCCAGTTAAAGATTTTCATAAACACTATTCCAAAATGTTAGTGTTAAAAATGTTACTAGCAATGTATGCATTCCCCTTATGTTCCTCCCCTCCCTCCCTCTCAAAATAAACTTGAATACCCAGTGTAAAAAACACTTCAGGGAGAACCAAAAGTCAACCATGTGAAAAGAAAAGTGAAGAAGGGAACAGACGGTGTGTAGCAGATGCTGGTACTGCTCAAGGGGCTGCTGATGCAGGCTTTGGCGGCATTAAATCCCCCAGTAAGGCATCAGGTGTCGGGACTCTTTCTCATAAACGTCTGGAACTATGCCATAAGGTGTCTGTACCATTTTAACTGTCGACTTCCCAAAAAGCTGGCGCTCGTAGTCTATCAGCTGCCTCCAGAAGCCTACATTGGGCCTGATGACAGGCCTCCGGGCTTTCACCCAGTTGTACGCCTCCAGCAGGCACACACTGTGGAATTTCATCAGGTAAGCAATACAGAGAGTGGCCGAGCGGCTCACCCCTGCAGCACAGTGCACCAAGGTGGCCCCATGCTTCCTGCTCACACTGTGGATCTTGTCAGCCACTGTGTCAAAGTATAGTCCAATGGGGGCATGAGGCATGTCAGCCAGAGGCACTTTAACATATTCAAATTGGGGCCAGTTGAAATTGGGGATCTCAATGGTAGCATTAACGATGCAGGTGATGCCACGAGCCTGGAGGAGGTGCCGGTTGGAGGCCACACTGCCTCTGCCCAGGAAGAGAGAGGAGGTGATTTGAGCAATGCCTCCTATATCTCCCTCAGAAATCATCCGAGGGGCCATGAGAGTCCGTGGTAGCGTGCTGTGACCTCTGGAGCTCATGAAGACGCCAACAATCACACTTGCATCATTGGAAGCAAGACCAGAGTGTTTTGTTTTTCTCCACCAAGGAATCCGAAATTAGAATCTCCTTCCTGCAAAATACAGGTATCTGTCAGTATTTTAAATGCTATTGATTCATCATAGCCTTCTGCAGTGCCTGGGGAATGGGAAGGTGAAAGGATTAGAAATGGTGATTTTCTGTAATAAGAGTGTGCACTTCCAAGGATGTAGACAAATCACTTTCTACCGATTAACAGGAAAAGTACCCTAAGACACCAGTGTGTAAAATCAATGTAAAAGCTCTCTGGTGATGGTTTAAGGCGGGGGAGGGTACTAAATGGAAATAAGTCATCCTATTTTAGGAAATGTGAAAGACAAAAACATGCCCAACCGGTTTCTGAACAACAATCTTGCAGGGTCTTGCTCTTATTAAAGGGAGTGATGTTCCTTGGTAATTAGGAAGAAATCAGAAATTCTGATCTTCCTATAGCCATGTTCCTACAATTCACCATTACCTACCTCCACGTCTAATTCCAAACAGAGGTCTTACAAAGGTATAAAATGATAATGCATTAGGTAATATGTTCAATGAACTGCTTTTATGGACTAAAGATACTGAACTGGATCAGTTATAGGAAAACCAGGACATATGGTCACCTTAGCCCTTAATTATTAAAAAAAAAAAAGCTACTCCTATCATATTTGTGACATCTGAACACTTCAGAAATCCAACTAGCTTTAGGTAACTTATGCTGTGGCATTTCCATGGAAATAATCCCAGGCAATTTGAAGGCTATGGTCTCAAATATTCATTCATCTAAGTTAATAAGCTGACCTGGCCCTGAGTTTGGTTAAATGATAACTTCACCTTCCTCAGCCAATTCTAAGCTCCAAGATGAATCCCACTGCCTTCAGATGTGTGTTGGAATTAAAATTAGTTTAATATTTACAGATCCATATTCTCTCATTAGTACAGTGTTTACTATAAAAGACATTCAGTATTATAACATATATAGCACACATTAGTAATAACAGAAAAGGAAATTACTGGTTTCCTGAGATTTTAGACACATCAATTACTCTCACTGCAAATTCATACCGCTTTATAGTCTGTGCCCACCGGATGTTTGCTTATCCCCACCCAGGGTACTGGAGGGATGCTCAAACTGATTTCAGTCAGATGAGAATATCCCTGGTTCCACAGACAGAAGTGGTGCTAGGGCTACTCACTTGTGAGGAATCTGATTACCCTGGAGTGCTGGGTCTGGATCCAGGCAGTCAGTCCTACGTTAAGAGTCTGATCAAGTAGATAGAAATCAGATCTACAGAAAGACAAAGAGGCAAGAATGTGGCCAGTCAGGAAGTTAAAAATAATTCCTCCGGAGTTTTTACTAGTAAATTGGATTTGACCAGAATAAATCTAGGAAATGGAAAGCATGCTAAATATATCTAGATATGCAATTAAATACCAGTAAGAAACAGCAACCTAAGGCTCAGCTTTTCATTAATGACACATAACCCACAGTGTGACACATGTTAAGTACAGTTTTGGCTATGATGAAGACAAATTTTTGAAAGGAGATTCAGAGCTCACAACATACATATCAATGAATGTAAGGCAATGCTCACTGGGCCAGCAAGAGATGCAAAACAATCTACACGTCTCTTCCTTGTGCCCTCAGTCACCCCAGCAGTGTGGGAGACTGTGCAGTGTGCTAGACACCAGAGTGGGTACAACAGCTAAGCCAGGTGCTGGAAGACAGCTTCATGAAGAGCAATGCTGTAGATGTGGCTGTAGCCATGAATGCCAACTACAGGAGGTGATGTTGAGGAGAGCAATTTGAAATTTCATTTTGTCTTCTCTTCCATGTTGGCCCTCTTACTCATTTATGTAACAATATGATGAACACTAATGAGCATCATTAAAAATGTGTTCCTCCATCTGTCCCTCCTCTTTTCCCAGGTAACCATCACATTATTTTTATAGCTCTCTTGAGGCATAACTGGTACAGCTTGATCAAGTATAAAACTTGATGAGTTTTGACATGTACACACTCGATACACCATGATCTCAAAATAACAAACATATTCATCACTCCCCAAAATTGCCATCTGGTCCAGGACTTTTGTTTGTTGGGAGTTTTTTTATTATTAATTTGATTTCGTTAGTATTTATCCATTTCTTCAAGATTATCCAATTTGTTGGCTTATAATTATTGGTAGTATTTCCTGATAATCCTTTAAATTTCTCTGGTGTTGGTTGTTACGTCTTTCATTTCTGATTTTATTTGGCCCCTTTTTTTCTTGATGAGTCTGGCTAAAAGGTTTATCAATTTTATCTTTTCAAAGAACCAGCTCTGGGTTTCACTGAGCTTTTCTATTTTTTACTCTATTTCATTTATTTCCACTGATCTTTATTATTTCCTTCCTTTTACTCACTTTGGGCTTTGTTCTTTTTGTCATTTAGATATAAGATTGAGATTTTTCTTGTTTCTTGAGGTAGGCCTGTATTGCTATCAGTTTCTTAGAACTGCTTTTGGCTGTGTTGGGGTTGTTGTGTTTTCATTTTCAGTTGTTTTGAGGTATCTTTTGATTTCTTCCTTAATCTTGTTAACCCATTCATTGTTTAATACCATGTTATTTAGCCTCCATGTGTTTGTTTTTGTTTTCTTCCTGCAATTGATTTCTAATTTCATACGACTGTGATTGGAGAAGATGCTAGATATGATTCCAATCTTAAATTTATTGAAACTTGTTTTGTGGCTTAACATGTGGTGTGTCCTGGGAAATGTTCCATGTATACTGGAAAAGAATGTGTATTCTGCTTTTTGGTTAAATGTCTTAAAAATATCAAGTAAGCTCATCTGGTCTAATGTGTCATTTAAGACCACTGTTTCCCTGTTGATTTTCTGTCTGGAAGATCTATCCACTGATGTGAATGAGATGTTAAAGTTCCCTATTATGACTGTTACTGTCAATCTCTCCCTTTATGTTCGTCAATATTTATATATTTAGGTGTTCCTGCGTTGGGTGCATAGATGTTTACAAGAATTATAACCTCTTGTTGGATTGATCCCTTAAACATTATGAAATGCCCTTTTTGTCTACTGTTACAGACTTTATTTTAAAGTTTATTGCGTCTGATCTAAGTATCGCTACCCCAGTTTTTTTTTCATTTCCATTTGCACAAAACATCTTTTATATCACTTTCACGCTGTCTTTCAGTCTGAACTGAGTGTCACCTAGGCAGCATATGTTTGGGTCTTGTTTTCTTATCCATTCAGCCACCCTATGTCTTTAGATTGGAGCATTTACATTTAAAGTAATTATTGACAGATTAATGTAGTTGTTGCCATTTTATGGATTGATTTCTGAATCCTTTTTAGTTCCTTTCTTATTCTCTTGATCTTTTGAATGTTGATGGCTTTCTATAGTGTCATGTTTGGATTCCTTTTTTGTACTCTTATAGATTTTTGCTCTGTGGGTACTGTGTGCTTCATATATACCAAGCTATGTTTATAGCAGTCTATTTTAAGTTGATGGTCACTTAAATTCAAACACATTCTTCAACCATTACTTGCCCCTTCCACATTTGGCTTTTGTCATTATTTTTTACTTGTGTGCATCCCTTAATTTATTGTTGTAATTACACATGATCTTCCTACTCTGGCCTTTTAACCTCTGTACTAGCTTTATAGTTGGTTGATCTATTGCTTTTACTAAGTATTTGCCTTTGTCAGTAAGAATTTTTTTCCTGTATTTTCTTATTCATATTTTTATCTTTTCTAGTTGGAGTCCCTTTAACATTTCTTGTAATATCGGTTTAGGGGTGAACTCCTTTAGATTTTTCTTGTCTGGGAAACTCTTTCTCCTTTGGTTCTAAATGATAGCATTGCTGGGTAGAGTAATCTTGGTTGTAGGTCTCTGCTTTTCATCACTTTGAATATTTCATGCCAGTCCCTCCTGGCCTGCAAAGTTCCTGTTGAAAAGTCAGCTGATAGTCTGTTGGGAACTCCACTCTATGTAACTAACTGCTTTTCTCTTGCTGCTTTTAAGATTCTCTATTTATCTTTAAAATTTGGCATTTTAATTACAGTGTGTCTTGGTGTGGGCCTCTTGGCGTTCATCTTGTTTAGGGCTCTCTGTGCTTCCTGGACTTGTATGTCTAATTTCCTTTGCCAGGTTAGGGTAGTTTTTAGTCATTATTTTCCTAAATAGGTTTTCAACCCATGCTCTCTCTTCTGGCACCCCTATGACATACACACCTGATGTCCCTTAAAACAATCCTCATTTTTTTTAGGTTTTTTTCCTTTACTTCTTCCAATTGGGTGTTTTCTGCTACCTTGTCTTCTAAATTGCTGATCTGATCCTCTGCTTCATCTAATCTGTTGATTCCTTCCAGTGTATTCTCATTTCAGTTGTTGTAATCTTCATTTCTAACTGGTATTTTATGGTTTCAGTCTCTCTGTTATAGTCCTCACTGAGGTCATCCAACCTCTCCTAAGTTCAGTGAGTGTCCTTATAACCCATGTTTTGAACTCTGCATCTGGTAGACTGCTTGTCTCCATTTTGTTTAGTTCTTTCTCTGGAATTCTGTCCTGTTCTTTCATTTGGGACATGTTTGTCTCCTCATTTTGGCCAACTCCCTGTATTTGCTTCTATATTGTAGGTAGATCTGCTACGTTTCCCTAGTCACCTGAGCCGGGAGCTCTAAAAGTACCTCTTGTGTGCGTTGTTTGTGCCCTCCTGTTGTAGTCGAGCATCGACTGCTGTTGGCATATCAATGGATGGAACTGACCTTCAGGCTGACTGGCTGTAAGGGCTGGCTATAACTACAGTAGACAAGCTGTTGTGTGGTGTGCTGACCTCATGGAGCAGGAGTTGCTTTAGCAGGGCTCTGGTGCCAGGTGAGTCCACCCTTCAGGTATGTCATTTGTGGAGCTGTTTGGGTGGTGCTCTGGTGTAGTGCGTAACCAGCCACTAAGTGTGCTGGTTCTGGAGGCTCTCGTGAGGGGTTCTGGTGCAAGCCAAGGTCAGATGCCATTTGTGCCCAGCCTGGGGCTGTCTGGTGGGAGCTACAAAGGGATCTATGGTTGGTTGCCACTTGTGCTGGACTTGGAGGTGCTTTAGAGAAGCTATGCTGCAAACTGAGGCCAACTGCCAGTAGTGCCAGACTTGGGACTCTTTGGTAGGCACCACAATGTGAACTGAGGTCAGCTGCCCCTTGTGCAGGGTTTGTGGCCACTTAGTTGAAGCTATGTTCGATACTAACACTGGCCACAGCTTATACCAGGCTTGGAGCTTACCTGATGAGAGTTACAATGGAAGTTGAGACTGGTCACCATTTGTGCTGGGCTTGAGGCCACTTAGCAAGAGGTATAGGGCATGCCAAGGCCAGACGCTATTTGTTTGGGGTTTGTGGACCTGAGAGATTTTAGGAAAGTCCACAGCACAAGCCAAAGTAGGCCACTTGTGTGGAGAAACTGCTGGAAATAGCTCAGGTCAGGCATGTGAGTTGCGTTGGGCAGGGTTTCAGGGAATCACCAAGGCAAACAGTGTTAGCCAGGTTAATGGAGACTCAGATTTGACACACACCTGTGCTTGCTGGCTAGGTGTGAGGAGGACTCAAGAAAGCAATGGTGCCTGGCAGCTTTCTATCCCTAGAGAAAACCACCCCAACCCCTGCCCCTGTAGCCCTCACCCTGAATGCCAGTCAGTTCAGTTTCTCTTAATATGTCCTGGTGCTCTTCAAGCTGCTGCTCCTGCTCTGGAGCCCAGAGCAAATGAGTCTGTGTGTGGCCCCTCAAGAGGAATGCCTGGACTCCATCTCACTTGCATGCAATTCCCACTGGTTTTTACAGGCAGATGTTATGGGGACTCTTCTTGGCACTGGGGCCCCAGGCTAAGGAACCAGGTGTAGGCCTGAGACCCCTTGTTCCTCAGAGAAGACCTCTGCAGCCAAGATATCCCTCCCAGTTCTTATTTGCCACATGTGGGTGTAGGACCTACCCGTTCTGTGTCTCTACCCTTCCTACCAGTCTCGTTTTGGCTTCTTCATATTCTTAGTTACAGGACTTCTGTTCAGCTAGTCTTTAGGTGGTTCTCAATGATGGTTGTTTTATAATTTAGTTATATTTTTGATGTGGTCATGGGAGGAGTTGAGTACAGCATTTGCCTATTCTGCCTTCTTGGCCAGATATATCTGTATACTTTAAAAGCTGCTGAGATCTTCCCCTTTAGAATACTGACAGGTATCGGCAGACCCACAACTACCAGGAGCCACTAAAAGTAAAATACACTGCTTGGACAATCACAAAAGTTT